CACTCCCATACCGCAAAAGGTGTTTTTGCTCTGTGCACCCTGGACTTTCCCGTAACAAAGCATATACTAGATTACATAGCAATTATCTTTCTTGCTAGATTAACTCAGAATAGAGGCAGTGCTCACCAGTTTATTCTCTGCACTTAACATTTTAAAAAAATAATGAATAAATGAATAAACTGGCTTATTTCAGTCAGTTGTCCACCCTTGCCAAAAATAGCTGCATTGAAAAGCACAGGAGGAGCCTGGCATGGTGGTGGGCACCTGTAGTCCTAGTTTCAGGTGGGAGGCTGAGGCAGAAGAATCAATTGAACCTGGGAGGTGGAGGTTGCAGTGAGCGGAGATTGCACCACAGTGCACTCCAACCTGGGCAACAGTGAGACTCCGCCTCAAAAATAAAATAAAAGTGCAGGAGGGCAGATGCTACAAACAGCTCCCTGAGTGCAGCCACTCTTCAGCTGTGGGTCAGGGCAGATTCATCTAGAGGGGTATAGGCGGGAAGGAAGAGCTGGCATCTAAAAAGACAGTTTTAACAGCACATATTAAAGCTCGTTTAGTAGTATTGTAATCAGTTTTGACAGAGAATGACTGGAACAAATCAAATATTAATAGTAAGCTAAAACTGTATATTCAGATTCTTAATATTGTGACTGAGTGTGAAATTCTAGAGATACTCTCATTAGGAGGCTCTCCACTTTGACTATGGATGTTTCTTTGAAAAGTGTGCCAGAGTTCCAGAGGGGGAACATTACACTTTAGAGCAGTTGTTCTTAACCTTGGCTGCCCACTGGAACTACCTGGTAGCGGCGGCGGTGGTGGTGGGCATTGAAAAATACTGAAATAAATGCCTGGATACCAATTTAATTAGTCTGGAGTAACGTCTGGCCATCAGTTTTAAAAGCTTCCCAGGTGTTTCTAGTCTGCAGCTCAGGTGGAAATCCAGTGCTTTATTGTGCTTCCTAGAATGTGGTTCTCGAACCAGTATCATTTGTATCACCTAGAAATGCAATAGAAATGCAGAGTCTCGGGCCTCCCCGTCAGATCTCCTGAATCAGAACCTACATTTTAACAAGATTCCCAGAAAATATGTCCATGTGTATAGTATTAAAGTTGGAGTATGGCTGGGTGCAGTGGCTCATGCCTGCAATCCTAGCACTTTGGGAGGTTGAGGCAGCAGATCACCCGTCAGGAGTTCAAGACCAGCCTGGCCAACATGGCAAAACCCTGTCTCTGCTAAAAATACAAAAATCAGTTGGGCATGGTGTGGGCGCCTATAATTCCAGCTACTTGGGAGGCTGAGGCAGGAGAATTGCTTGAACCCACGAGGTGGAAGTTGCAGTGAGCCAAGATCGTGCCACTGCACTCCAGCCTGGGTGAACCTGTGATTTATCACCTTACAAAGCCCTCTATCAAATATGCAACTTGTAATTTCATGTTGTATACATTACTACTGAGTTTGTCACCAATATTTTGTATGATATATGAAAGTCTTAAGACTTGCCAGATTTAAGTGGTGATTCCATTTTGGGAAGTGTAGGGGATAGTAAGATCAATATAGTTTAAAAAATGAGTCTCCATAAGAGAGAATATTGCTAGGTATGGTAGAGATAAATTTTATTTTTAAAGATATACCTTTGAACTAGTTCAGCTGATTGAAAGTTAATCTGATGTTTGTGAGAACTGCTAACACTCAGTATAAAAAGGGCTTGATATTTCTTGAAATGATGATGATATTCTTTCAGTGGTAGATTAGTTTTTACAGGGAGACATTTCAGAAAGGAAAGTAATTCTTAGGGAGTATCTGCTGTGCGCCAAGCATTAGTAGAAGCACCTTCACCTGCTGTCTCAATCCTCACACCACTGTAAGACAGATGTACCCCTTTTTCACTTATGAAATTATTATTGATTTTATATATTTTCTCAGAAAAATCACTAAAGTTTTAGAGCCAGAAGAAAGCTAGCAATTCAAGTTGTTATTTTTACAAATGAGGACAGTGAAAGGTTAAGTGATTTGACCATCACATTGCTAGACTGGTGGTTCTAAAACAAATATGCTTCATTTAAAATATCTATAAACTATAAAAACTCAGGATCTGGAATCCTGAGGTTGCCAGACCATCGATTCCTTAACAAATAACTGGCACTGTTTGCAGTTGGGACAAACAAATTCCTTGGATAAAATTGTAAACATTTACCTCAAATCTCCCCATATAAGAAAAATGTTTAGCTATGCACTCCCTTATTCACATGGCCTAGTATAAGATACAGCATATGTACTTGACTTTGCCATGTCAGCAGTTAGAGCAAGTTTAGACACATAACTTAGCACTTTGTGTAAATCATCAGAAGGACTTTATGGTCTTATTTGTAGATGTGGAAAAATCTAGAATCCCTTCTGTTTAATTAAAGTCTTTCAATTTGATTAAATCAAAGTCTTACATGTGGAGTTCACTGGAGTAAACTTTTGAGTCCATGTAACAGTTTCTTCAACTATGAGGTTAAACATACAAATCATTCTAGCACAGAAGAATCAGTGTGTATACTTTAAAGTGGTGCTGATAAGAACCACTGCATAGATAGATGTGTGGCTGAGGTTTCTATAGCCCAGAAGTGGAAAGTTAGAGTGAACAAAGGGACCATGAACTCACCATCCTTAAGACTGGCAGAATTCTATCTCTTTACTCCTGCTAACCAAGGGAGCTGGAATCAGTTTCTTACACCCACACAAATATCCCAGTTCTTTCACAACATCAGATAAAATGCCTAATGCCATTAATATATAGGTTCATCACCAGTAAGAACTGCCCTGCTGCTTGTTATTACATGAGCAACGCTTGTCATGTGTTTTTACTGGGCTACTTGCAAAGCATCAATTTTCATTCACCATTTGTTTTGAACCCTGGTAGCAAGCCGAGCTCCCTTTTGTCTGAGATGCCCCCAGTGTGACCTGAGGAACCCCGCCAAAGGCCCAGTGAGAGGGTCCGGAGGCTGTAGAATCACCTGAGTTCTCAGACTGCCCAGAAGTCTGTGAGTATAGGAAGAGGAAGACTCTCCTCAGGGTTTCCCAAATTTGGCTTTCAGAGTCACTGGAGAGCTTTCAAAAAGCCAAGCTCTGAGGCTACACCCTGAAGGTTACACATTAGTAATTTATTGAGTATAAAATTTATCGAACACTTACAGTAGACCAGTTCCTCTTCTAGGTTCTTATTCAAATTATTGATTCACGGAACCCTCACGACAATCCTATGTAGTAGGTATGTTTCTTGGATGAAGAAATTGACGCACAGAAAAGTTCTTGCCTGAGTTCGTGCAGCTAGGGAATGGCAGAGCCAGGATTCAAACCCTAGCAGTCTGGCTCTAGAACACACATTCTTAACACTATGCTGCTCTGGGTCAGTTGAGGATGTAACATAGGTGGTCTGCTTCTTCCCATCCACCTCAGGTCTTAGCATAAAGACATATTGTTATATGTCATATAGCAATAAAGCTGTCATTAAAAAAACAAAAGCAAATGCCAGTTGTCAGTAGTCAGGAATGGCAGGGGGCAGGGGAGTGGGTGTGACTATAAAGGCATACTGGAAGGGGGTCTTTGTGGTGCCGGAAAGGTTCTGTATTTTCTTTTGGGTGTTGGTTACATGAATATACTCATGATAAAATGGTATCACATACATTGTACCAGCGTCAGTTGCCTGGTTTTGATATTGTACTACCATTTTATTACTGTAACCACTAGGGAAAATGGGTGAAAGGTACACAAGACTGCTCTGGACTATTTTTGCAACTTCCTGTGAATCTATAATTATTGCAAAATAAAAAGTAAAAAAAAAAAAAAAAAAAAAAAAAAGGCTATGCTTACTTTTGGCAAGCCCCATATCCATTAGAGGCCTGCCCCTCTAAGACTGATGTAAATAGAGATCATTCTTGGACAACAAACCTCATTCTGTTTAGGGTAAGAAAAGCACTCAGTCTGGGCAGAGCAGGGGCACAGGGTAGTGGTGTTAACAGGAGCTGAGCAAAGTCACCAATAGCAGAGTCAAGCACTCTCCCGCCTACACTACACCATGGGGGCTGGAAGCAGTTCCTTATGCCTTGCAGTGATTCCCAGGTGACTAGTGCCCTAAATGGGAACCCTGGGGAAAGAGCTAAATGAACACAGAATCTCTGCCCCATGCCTGGGAACTCTGCCTCAGTAGGTCAAGGACAAGGTCTATTAGGTTACACTAAAAAAATCTCCCCAGGTGACATGAGCTTGAGAACTTTAGATTCCAGAGTAGCTGATAAAGCTGGATCTCCAATAACATCACATGAGTCAGCCACCACGGGGACTGTAACACAGCACCTGGTTTTCATAGGGTTGGTATGGCTCAGAGAGAGAAGGATGATGTTCATGTCATATAAAAAAACATCCAAAGTGTAGATACCCTTTCTGAATGCTATGTACAAACAGTGAGATATTACAATGAATTGCTTTTTCTTTTGCATCATTCCTATTTGGTTCCTTACCAAGAGTCTCCTGGGGTACATGTAGTTACAAACAAGAACCAAATTCTATTACAAATGTCTTAGGCTATCAGGTATGTTGCTCAATTAAGAATGTTTTTGTCTAGAAATAACAACCTTCTCAACCAACAGTAACATAAACAACACAGGGGTCTGTTCGTCTCATATACTAAGAAGTCCAGAGCAGGTGGTTCCTGGGATTGGTCTCACAGCTCAAGAGACTGGTGCTGACATCTCTGCAGTACTTTTCTTTATGGCCTCAAGGCTACAGCTGCAGCTCCAGTCTCTGCACATTCCAGACTGGATGAAGGGGAAGGGGCAGGACCACTGGCATTCTACTCCTGTCTCGTTGGCCAGAACCATCTCTCATGGCCACCCCCGGCTGCAAAGGAGGCTAGGAAATTGAGTATTCCCCTTTCACAATTTCTATAAGAGAGGCAGGAAAGGAAGATGCAGAGAGATTGGGTGTAGATGAGGCAACCTACAGTGTCTGCCACGGCTTTCATATTATATTTATCAAGTACTATTTAATTAAATCTACAAAGAGCTGATCAGATGCAAAGTAATACATTATCACAGAAAATACTGATATGAAAATCAAGCATAAGGATCTCCACTGTCAATAATTCTACACATAGGTATTGGTCTTTCATTCTCTGTGGGAACTAATTCTAGTTGTTTAAGCACTTCTGTTCCTTCAATCAATTGCCTACATAGGAGAAAAAAATGGAAAATTTAGTCAGTCATAAATTTTCACATATAACTTACATTCCAAAATGGAGTCCTATTCAGCTGTAACTAAGAGTATTTCCTAAAAATTAAATGAACATCAGCCCCAAGTATCCTAAACCTCTCTGGATGTGTCCACTTTGCCTCACCTACGGTACCCAGGGCCATCATCCAGACAGCCGGCCCTCTTGCCTTGGCTCTGAGCTGGCTTCCTCCATCTGCTTGGCACCCTCCCCTCTCTGTTCTCCCTGCAGTCAGGGTGATTTTTTTTTTTTTTTTTGAGACAGTCTCACTCTGTTGCCCAGGCTGGAGTGACATGGCATGATCTTAGCTCACTACAGCCTTGATCTCCTAGCTCAAGTGATCTTCCTGCCTCAGGCTCCTGAGTAGCCAGGTGTGTGCCACTATGCCTGGCCAATATTATTTATTTATTTATTTTTGTACAGATGGGATCTTGCTATGTTGCCCAGGCTTGTCTTGAACTCCTGGCCTCAAGCGGTTCTCCCACTTTGACCTCCCAAAGTGCTGGGATTATAGGTGTGAGTCACCATACCTAGCCAGCATGGTCTTTTAGAACTAGAAATCTGTGGTCACCTCCTTGTTCAAAATACGACAATAATTTCCCAGTATCCTTATGAAAAAGACCAGGGCCTGCACATATGACAATAATTTCCCAGTATCCTTATGATAAAGACCAGGGCCTGCACAGTCTATCTCCCATGGCCTCCTGGGAGGTCTGGCCACATGCTTCCTCTTGCTCTCTGCTCCAGCTAGACTGGCTTTCAGTACCTCAAGAGTTCCATGCTCCCTTCTTCCACAGCTCCTCCATTACTCTCTGACCCCTACCCGTTGGCATGGTCACCTCCTGGTCTTCCTTCAGACCTCAGCTCAGTCATCACTTATTCAGTGAAGTTTCCCAGGACACCTTGCTTATGTTCCCTCTCTCTCCTTTAGAGAAGTTCCCAGAGTTGCAAGCTTACATTTGTTTGCATGCTTCTTTGATTGATTTCTGATTCTCCCATGATGGCAGGGATCATGTGTGCGCTCAGGCTCAGTGCCTAGCATAATGCCTGGCATATACTAGGCACCTGACAACATCCACTGAGTGCATGAATAAAAGACAGCTCAAAGCCATGCTAATTTAGACTGGATGCGGTGGCTCAAGCCTGTAATCCCAGCACTTTGGGAGGCCAAGGCAGGCAGACTGACTGAGCTCAGGAGTTCGAGACCAGCCTGGGGGTAACATGGTAAAACCCCATCTCTATTAAAATACCAAAAATTAGCCAGGCTTGGCAGTACATGCCTGTAATCCAAGCTGCTTGGGAGGCTGAGGCAGGAGAATTGCTTCAACCTGGGAAGTGGAGGATGCAGTGAGCCGAGTTTGCACCACTGCACTCAGCCTGGGCCATAGAGTGAGACTCATCTCCAAAAAAGTAAAAATAAAAAATAAAAGCCATGCTAGATCTCTGTAGACACTTGCTGGCCATGAGCTAGAACTTCCTGGGGAGTGGAGCTAGACTTCTGATGGTTCTTTCCATGAAAAGAGGGCAGAGAGGCCAAGAAATAGGACTGGTGCCCTCTGCCAATGCTTAGGCTGGGACAGTGGCCGAGGGGAAGGTGAGCCTTTATGGGGGTGTGGTCAGTGCTGACACCAACTGTACTTTAGCCCTCTCTTTGCCTTTGGGCTCTATTTTTGCCATCCCAATCAGAAACCACCACACAGGGCAACACAAGGTACATTCTGAGGATGAAGAGCAGAGTATAAATAGATTCGTTTCTGTCCAAATAAGAGTATGAAGCCTGTTCTCCAACAAGACAAGGTAAGCAAAGGCACAGAGACGGTTCTTGGGGTGTTGGTACTATGGTCTGGCTGCAGCTTGGCTGCCAGTCTACAAATTACTTCCAAATTACATCTCCAGCCCTGACCCAACTTGAATATCCACCTCCTGGGATGCCGCCAACTGGCTATCCTATAGGTATCCTATTATGAAACTTGTCTAATCTGAACTCATGATCTTCTCTTCCAAATCCTCCTCCTTCTATTCTCTATCTTGGTGAATGGTACCACCCATCCAACCAGTTCCCAAATCCTAGGAGTTACTCTAGGCTTTCACTCTCCAGTATGGTCGACACTAGCCACATGCGGCTATTTAAACTTAATTATAGACTGGGAGTTTCAGTGGCTCACACCTGTAATTCCGGCACTTTGGGAGGCTGAGGTGGATGGCTCACTTGAGGTCAGGAGTTCAAGACTAGCTTGGCTAACATGGTGAAACCCTATCTCTACCAAAAATACAAAAATTAGCCAGGCATGGTGGTGCATGCCTGTAATCCCAGCTACTTGGGAGACCGAGGCATGAGAATTGCTTCAACCCAGGAAACAGAGGTTGAGTGAGCTGAGATCGCACCACTGCACTCCAGCCTGGGCAACAGAGCAAAACCTTGTCAAAAAAAACCCACTTTAATTAGTATTAGATATAGTTCCTTAGTCACACTAGCCACACTTCAAGTACCCAGTAGCCATGTGTAGCCAGTGGGCATCATACTGGGCTGGGCATTTCTGTCATCACAGAGCGTTCTACTGGACAGTGCTGGCCTGGACTCTGCTCAGGTCCTTGCCCTCGACTCTAAATTCTCAATGTCTTGAGTTTGTCCACTTATCGTCTGTTCATCTGTACTGCTGGTGCTTTCAAGCAAGACTTCATTTATGGCCTATTATAACCATAGCTTCTTAAGTGGTCTTGCTAGTTCTTTTTCATCCTTTGCCAATCATTCCTTTTTTCCCTTCAAAAATGACAAGCTGGGTATGTTGCTCACAATGTAAAATTCTCCCATGGCCCCTAGCACCCTTGGGTGAGGCTCGTGCTCAGCAGCATGGCACCTGCGGCCCATTGGGAGCTGGGCCCTGGCTGACCCTCTTATCCAGCCTCCACCCTCTCCATTCTCCCCTGGGCACTAAGCTCTGACCAGACCAGATGGCTTGTAGGTGAAATGCTCTTGTACTCCTCGGGACCTCTCTGTGGAACCCCTTCACACTAAAATTGATTTGACTCATTCTGATTTCTAGCTTCTCTATCTGGCTAATTTCTACTTGACTTTTCGCCCCTTAGCTCGTCTTCTTATGAAACTTTCCATGACCCCCTCCCACCTTACAAGTCTCTTAAAATGAAATAATTCCCCCTCCCACTAGCACCCCATCTACCATATGTGTGCATGAATGGAGAGCTTACAGGCTTGTTTTGTGATATTCTTTCTCTGTGAGACCACTGGGCCAGGCCATGCTCTGTGGATTGCTATGGTCTTTCCTGAAGGACATTCCCAGTGTCACCCATCTGAGGGAGTGGCAGGTTCACGTACCTGAAAATGGGCTTGGAAGGAGTGTCTGTCTTGGATCAGAGGAAATTTCTGCCTCACTCTGGACCTTGCTAACCACGTCTGGGCTTCCAAAAGCTCAGACACACCTGGGGATACTGAGAGATGCTAGGGAAGAGGCAGCACTACACCTGGGAAGGAAGGTATCCCTGAAGGAGTTCTATTTCATTAGTTTAACTAGATTATCTAGTTGCCTATTATATCTTACCTTTCTGCTTCTCCCTTAGCATTCTGTAAGGTCTTGTTTAAATATTCCAGCTGAGCCTCAACTGTAATTTGGAGACTTTTTTTTTTTTTTTTTTTTTCAATTTAGAGATTTAAGGAATACACTGAGATCATACTTGAGGCAGAAAAGAAGAGGGGCAGTGCCTCCCAGAGGCTAGAGTGATAATAACAAAAATTAGAGATTTCCCTAAGAGGAAGGTGGATCATAGAGAATTGGAATCATCAAAAGGAGACCGAGTGCTCTCCACTCCACTGTGGCCCTGTAAGGCTCTATGCTCCCTTTGATGGAAGGTGTTGCAGGGTGTTTTCTTTCCCACCTCCCAATGCACCTTGTACGCAGTTTGCATAGCCCATGTCTCACTGTCACATAGCTGCTGGTTATTTGACCTGTTTTTCCTAATATGCTCTAAGCTCCCTGAAGAGCAGGGATTGTACCTTGTCACTTTTCCCCCAGCACTGAGTATTACGAATGGCATACTACAGGTGCCTAACAAAATTCTATTTGAATGAGTTGGGAAAACAGCAGAAGAGAGGGTTGAAAAAAGATGTGGGGCCAGAGAGTGGAGGACCTAGAATGCCATGCTAGACACCAAGCTCGGCAGATGTGGAAGTGGTAATGGAGGCACTAAAAGTTTTCAAGTAGTCATGTTTGTGTTTGAGAAAGGTGTCTTTAGCTTAGATACAAAGGATCACCACGGTTGGTAGAGGATAGAGACTGTCAGCAACATGACAAGAGATTTAAATGATCCAAGGAAATGTTATGTGAATTTAAAACTAATTTAACAATGCATTTTCAAAATCAGAATACAATTTATTTGGGACCAGGGAAAACTGAAGTCAAGTCATTATTTTAGGCTATGCATCTATTAATGTAATGTTATCTCTCTTTAAAGACAGCCTTTGGATGAAAATACACTTTCTATTTTTCAACCTGGAAGTACCACAGAAAGCATTACACTAAAGGAATTATTGTGGTTAAACTGGCATGAAATTCCAGGTGCTGGAGAGTCAATAATGTTCCCTATGGAGTGAATAAATCTAACAGTTATTCAGAAAAATCCAAATACTTTACATTATTTTAGGGAACACAAAGTAAGCCCTGCCTCATATTCACTCAGTAATTAAAGAGCGATATAAAACACTGGAGTGATGAAAAGTATTTCCATCATTCATTTTAGGTCCACATGTCTTAAGCATAATAATATTCTAATAATAACTACTACCTGTGATGTTTCCATATTTAAAATCATTCAGTAATAAAAGTTACATGTAACTTGAATAGTTTTCATCTACCTCTTTATGGTGTCCATGGACAATTACTTAAATGACTTCACCTCTTCACTACTACATATTAGTATATCTATATTATTAAGCACTGTGGTATGATTCATAGTAATTACAAATTGATAATATCTTTAAGGCTGAAGATCGATAGATGGATAAATAGAGACACAGAAAGAACATTATCATGACTATGCCTAAATGGTTTCTCTGTTTTTATTTTGTTTTACGTATGTGTATGTGTGTGTGTGTGTGTGTGTGCATGTGTGTGTTTGAGACAGAGTCTTGCTCTGTTGCCCAGGCTGGAGTGCAATGGCATAATCTTGGCTTACTGCAGCCTCTGCCTTCCAGGTTCAGGTTCAAGCAATTCTCTGCCTCAGCCTCCTCAGTAGCTGGGATTACAGGTACCCACCACCACACCCAGCTAATTTTTTGTATTTTTAGTACAGATGGGGTTTCACCATTTTGGCCAGGCTGGTCTTGAACTCCTGACCTCATGATCCACCTGCCTCGGCCTCCCAAAATGCTGGAATTACAGGCGTAAGACACTGTACCCAGCCTTGTTTTACATACATTTTTGAGACAGGATCTCATTCTGTTACCCAGGCTGAAGTGTAGTCACATAATCATGGCTCCCAGGCTCAAGCAACCCCCTCACCTCAGCTTCTTCAGTAGCTGGGACTACAGGCATGCACCACCACACCCAGCTAATACTTTTAAATTTAATTTAATTTTATTTTATTTTGACCCAGCCTTGCTCTGTTATCCAGGCTGGAGTGCAGTGGTACAATCTCGGTCACTGAAACCTCCACCTCCCGGGTTCAAGCAATTCTCCTGCCTCAGTCTCCTGAGTAGCCAGGGCTACAGGAGTGCACCACCATGTCCAGTTAATTTTTTGTAGTTTTAGTAGAGATGGGGTTTTGCCATGTTGGCCAGGCTTGAACTCCTGACCTCAAGGGATCTGCCTGCCTCAGCCCCTCAAAGTGTGGGATTACAGGCATGAGCCACCACATCTGGTCTATTTATTTTTGAGGCAGTCTTGCTCTGACACCTAGGCTGGAGTACAGTGGTATGATATCAGCTCACTAAAACTGCCTCCCACGTTCAAGTGATTCTCCTGCCTTAGCCTCCACAGTAGCTGGGATTATAGGCATGTACCACCATGCCTAATTTTTGTATTTTTAGTAGAGACAGGGTTTCACCAAGTTAGCCAGGCTGCTCTGGAACTCCTGGTCTCCTTCGCCTGCCTCGACCTGTCAAAGTGCTGGGATTACAGGCATAAGCCACCATGCCTGGCCAGCTAATTTTAAAATTTTTTGTAGAGATGGGGTCTCGCTATGTTGCCCAGGCTGGTCTTGAACTCCTGTGCTCAAGCAGTCCTCCCACGTTAGCCTCCAAAAGTGCTGAGATTACAGGCCTAAGCCACTGTGCTTGGCCAGTTTCTGTGTTTTTATAGATAGGAAAATTCTTGCAAAATATTTCTTAAATACTTTTGTCTCTATTTGTATTATTTTTGCATTTAAGCCCTATTTTTAGCTACTTTTACACTATATACAATATCCAAACATTTTTGAATATTTTATATGCATCAACATTATATAGACAAATCTACAATATACATACCCAAAAGCCACAAATTTTCTGTCTAGATAAGGAGTTGCTTGCAGTGTGATATAGAATTGTGACCCATTGCTGTGGCGGCCTTTGTTGGCCATTCCAAGAACTCCTCTTTTATTATGAGGAACTGAAAAGTTTTCATCTAGGAAAGACAATAATCAGTAGGTCATTAGCACATTGCTATTATCTCAATTTATTGTAACATCTAAGAAACAAATAGAACCCTTGGTGACAATCTCAATCGTATTTATCAATACATTCCAAACTGTAAATATTCTATTTATTTTGAATTACTTTCAAACCTTCAAATGGGCTGTTAAAAAAGATAAGCTGGAAAACCTTATTAGAACTATTTGAATATTCAGCTTTAGTTTGTCTTTACCATAAACCAGTGTGCTAAGAAAATTAATAATGTACAAGGAAATATATACAGTATTCTAATTAAGAATAAAGGTCAGAAAACTTTCTTATGCTGTTTCGGCATTTCCTTCAAACTACCACCATGCTCATTAAAAACACTTCCTCTGGGCCAGGTGATTCCTCTGATCACCCCTGTAATTCCAGCACTTTGGGAGGCTGAGGCAGGTGGATCACGTGTCAAGAGATTGAGACCATCCTGGTCAACATGGTGAAACCTCATCTCTACTAAAAACATGAAAATTAGCTCGGTGTGGTGGTGCATGCCTGTAGTCCCAGCTACTCAGGAGGCTGAGGCAGGAGAATCGCTTGGAGGCAGAGGTTGCAGTGAGCCAATATTGCTCCACTGCACTCCAGCCTAGCGACAAAGCAAGACTTGTTTTTCTCAAACAAACAAATATCTCCTCTGAGAAGGCTTCTGTGGACCTAACCTATCCCCCAGGCCCCCAAGCATCTTACACATAGCTTTTGGACAGTCCTTACAACACTCTATGTAATTATTGGTTTACACAGCATTTTCTGTAGTACGTGAAGGCAGGAACCTTGTCTCCCGGAAGCTTTAGCTCCAGGCTTCCTACCACATTAACTGGCGTAAGTGTGGACCTAAATGTTTGGGCAGATTTCAATTCCATGTACTTTTCCATCCCATGTAGTTTAAAAATGTTGATGATGAAAGGAAATTAATTATGCTTATTTCTAGTAATCTTCAAATAAATTTAAATCTGAAATCTTGTTTGGATTGACCAAGATTTTGCGGAAAGCAATAGCTTTTTTAGTGTAAGATTCAGAAGTAAAAAGAGTTGTACAGTGATTATCAGGTTACCAATTTGAAGACATATCATTCCCAGCATTGCTTTCAAGTTCAGATACACAGAGGGAAATAATGGATGAAAAATTCAATGAAAGTTTTCATTCAATAACTTTATAAATTTCTTAGAATAACTGAGAAATATGAATATTAACTATAAGATTTTATTAAACTGCAATTGCTATTATTATTCTAAGTTTCAAAACTAAGCAAACTAAGTGATTAAGCCATATCTGGTAGTTAATTTCAGCCTGTTAAGTTGAAAACTGAATAAAGACCTCTGAAACCTTATGAAATGCAAATGAGGCATTTTTGTACAAATGAGTCTATATAATTACACTGATGCTCCTTATTCAATTCAGTGAAATAAAGAAAAAAACTCATTAATTTCACAGAAAATTGCATGAAATGGAAATCTGCCCACAGCAAAGATTCAGAGAGTTTTAACAGAATGGTATGGCATTTCTTTTAGATACTCTGATTTATTTTTCTTAAATTCTGTAAAAATTGGGGAAGAAAATTGATACAAGTTGTAACATTTTTACCAAAAATTCTGTGACTGTGGGATAACTTTAAAGCAGTTAATCGTAACACCTATCAAAACAATTGCTACCTATGTAAAAGCCCACATGTAAAACAGTTGAAGAAGTGTCTAGAGCAGCGAGGCATGGTGCCTCACACCTGTAATCAAGCACTTTGGGAGGACAAGGTGGGGGATCCTTGAGGCCAGGAGTTCAAGACCAGTCTGTCCAACAGGGCAAAACCCCATCGCTACTAAAAACACAAAAATTAGCTGGGCGTGGTGGTACATGCCTGTAATCCCAGACACTTAGGAGGCTGAGGCAGAAGAATCACTTGAACCAAGGACGCGGAGGTTGCAGTGAGCTGAGATTATGCCAATGCACTCTAGCCTGGGTGAAAGAGAGAGACTCAGTCTCAATTTTTAAAAAATTGCCTAGAGCCCTGTCATCTCCTGGACACATTTATTTAGGACAGCATGGAAATCCTTAGAGACAATTTGACAACCATTGCTATAAAGGGACAGAATAAATTATATTTTTAAAAGGTGCAGGTAGTCCCTGACTTACAAACTTTAAAATGTATGGACCTGGAAAAAAGTGTGAAAACTAAATGACTATGTGTGGATTCTCTAAGTCCAGAATGTATACGTGAATCTTAAGAACCTGAGGCTATGCTGCTTCCAGGTCAGGCAGTAATGCCAGAACCTATGGAAACAGGTCAGTGGTCATGCCATGACAGGCCAACTTGGCATGATCTTGTATGGATCAAATAAAATGATGTGTAAGAAAGAACCATTGTAAATATTAACTCTAACTAGCTTTGCAGACACAAAGTATTACAAGACAAGGGTAATTTACATGTTCTTTTGTTCTGCTGTGTCTGACTCACTTTTTTTTTTTTTTTTTTGAGACGGAGTTTCGCTCTCGTTACCCAGGCTGGAGTGCAATGGCGCGATCTCGGCTCACCGCAACCTCCGCCTCCTGGGTTCAGGCAATTCTCCTGCCTCAGCCTCCTGAGTAGCTGGGATTACAGGCACGCGCCACCACGCCCAGCTAGTTTTCTGTATTTTTAGTAGAGACGGGGTTTCACTATGTTGACCAAGATGGTCTCGATCTCTCGACCTCGTGATCCACCCGCCTCGGCCTCCCAAAGTGCTGGGATTACAGGCTTGAGCCACCGAGCCCGGCCCGTGTCTGACTCACTTTTAACCATCTGTTCATTTCTATATTTCCTGATCTTTCCAACCCCTCTACTTTTCTTCCTCTTTACAGTTCTCTCCAAGCTTCCATAAAGCTCTAAAATTCAAGAGCTATAATTTTCATTTAAATTAAATTAATTTTTTTTAGAGAAGGCATCTTGTTTATGTTGTCCCAACTGGTCTTGAACTCCTGGGCTCAAGGCCTCCTGCCTCAACCTCCTGAGTAGCTGGGACTACAGGTGTGTGCTACTATACCTGGCTAGCTATAATTTTTTAAAAAATTATTTACTGGCTGGGTGTGGTGACTCATGCCTGTAATCCCAGCACTTTGGAGGCCGAGGCAGGTGGATCATGAGGTCAGGAGTTCAAGACCAGCCTGGCCAAGATGGTGAACTCTCGTCTCTACTAAAAATTAAAAAAAATTAGCCGGGCTTGGTGGCACATGCCTGTAGACCCAGCTACTTAGGAGGCTGAAGGCAGAAGAATAGCCTGAACCCAGGAGGTGGAGGCTGCAGTCAGCCAAGATCGTGCTACTGCACTCCAGCATGGGTGACCAAGTGAGACTTCATCTCAAAAAAAAAAAAAAAAAATTATTTATTAATGTAAGGTTCCCTGATTTTCTAATAGTAAATTTTTGGTACATTTCATTTAATACTTAAAACATTAAATTAAGTTGCTTTATACTTCCATGATAACAAAATGCACCCTTTGGCAGTAAACAGCACTGTTGAAGAGGTTTAAATAGAGTGAAAGCCCCCATAGAGGAATTTTTGTCCTTTTTGTTTGGTGAGAAGTGAGGTCACTGGTCAGTAAGTAGGTCTGATTCAAGCCTATTTTCTCCTGAGTGTTTCTGCCAGGGATTATACAGAAACCAGTAGCTGAAACTTGCCTGAGTAGAAAGAGCCTATTTATTTAGGGACTTTAAAAGCTGTGATTCAAGGCTGGGCATGGTGGCTCACACCTGTAATCCCAGCACTTTGGAAGGCCGAGGCAGGCGGATCACCTTAGGTTGGGGGTTCGAGACCAGTCTGGCCAGCATAGAGAAACCCTGTCTCTACTAAAAATACAAAACTAGCCAGGTGTGGTGGCGTATACCTGTAATCCCAGCTACTCAGGAGGCTGAGGCAGGAGAATCGCTTGAACCTGGGAGGCAGAGGTTGCAGTGAGCCGAGACTGCGCCATTGCACTCCAGCCTGGGCAACAAGAACAAAACTCCATCTCAAAAAAAAAAAAAAAAAAAGTTGTGATTCAAAACAAAGCAAAACAGACTTTCCCTAGGTTTAAAAAAATTAACTCATTTGTAAAATAATCATCTAATTATTTTTATTGTATTATTTTTGTGTTAAGCTTAATAAAAGTGAGTTTTGCGGTTGTAGTTTATCACAGCCCTGGTTTTAATTCTGCAACTCATGGAAATAAGACCCATGAGAGAAACGTGGAGGTAGGACTGGCTGGCTGCTGTGTTCACATTCCCAGGTGGGTGAAGGAATGAGGGAGACCCATGCCTTAGCTGTTCTGAGGACTAGCCATGCTCTCGCTTTCATAGTTACTCATCTTTCCTTCTGGAACATCTCTCCTTCTCACTTGATTGCTTACTGGATTTTTTCTAATTTTGTGCTACCAGACCAACCGAATAACAAAAATGTCACTGAACACACCGGGACTCCGTGGCCACAATAAGGACAGCAAAGCCTCTATCTGGAGACCAAATACTAACGGTCTAAGAATGGGGTGAGGGTTAATCAGCAGAGACTCAGGGGTGTCTAGGGGGTCAGGTGAGGAGGTGAGTGAATAAATCAGTCTCCTACTGGACAGGAGGCCCATGTTCTGTCTGAAGCTGTGACTCCAAGCACAAAGCATTTGGGTACTCTGATAATGGCTGTGGGGTGGAGAGGTACAGTGGATCGTCATCAGGGATTGGGGCCAGGAGAATCCTTTCCCCATCTGCAATGTGTTGCTGCAGACCCAACTCAAGGCTACTCTGTGCCGCCACCCCCAGTCTCCAGGCAGCTATTCTTCCTTTTCCCAGAGCTCTCAGTTCCTTCCTCTCTAACAGCAACTGGCACAGCACCTGTAGCTGATCTGTTTAAACATCTGTCTGCACAAAAACACTAAAATCCCTCAGAGTAGAAACTCGGTTAAACGATCTTGTTGTCACAGGCCCTAGCACCATGTGAGCACCTACCTTGGAGTTTAG